CAAACCTTAGCACCGCGTTTCATTTGTATGGAATACCAAAATATTGTGTATTTATTGGTTAGTTCTATGAACTATGACGGTGAACTAGTTTTATGACGGTGTAAAGGTGAAGACTTTCGCCTTTTTAAATATAGGAACTTGAAAATTGGAATTGCAGCTACTCATAAATGTAACTAATGATGTATTTCAAGGTTTTGGATTTTCGCATTTAAAGGAGGGGAAACCCTATTACTACATAAATGCGAAAGTTTGGAGAAAGGGGAAATAGGGAAAGTGGGCAAAGTGAAAAAATAGGGAGAAGGGGGAAGAGGGATGAAAGTATCGATTTTTTAAAGGTAAGAACATGAAAGTTGGAATTGTAGATACTCATATAATGACGTATTTAAAGGTTTTTGGATTTTCACATTTTAAGGAGGGGGGAATAAATAAATAAAAATAAACAAATAAAAAATAAAAATTAAATATAAATAAATAAAAATAAATAAAAATAAATAAAAATAAATAAAAATAAATAAAAATAAATAAAAATAAATAAAAATAAATAAAAATAAATAAAAATAAATAAAAATAAATAAAAATAAATAAAAATAAATAAAAATAAATAAAAATAAATAAAAATAAATAAAATTAATAAAAATTAATTAAAATAATAAAAATTAATAAAAAAATAAAAATTAATAAAAATTAATAAAAATTAATAAAAATTAATAAAAATTAATAAAAATTATTAAAAATTAATAAAACTAATAAAAACGAATAAAAATTATTAAAAATTAATAAAACGAATAAAAACGAATAAAAATTAAATTAAAATTTTTTTTTCAAGTATCGCATGAAAAAAATTCTCACGAGTAACAAAAACTGTTATTCACTTTTAATAATTGAGATTTGAGAAATTCCAGTGAAGCGGGATCGGGTCAGCTAGTGTATAATAAAATTGTTTATTAAAAATTTAAAAATGGACACAAAATTAATAAGAAATAAAAATATAATGACAAACACAAAATTATAAATTAATGAAATTTTAACAATCTGTTCCAATTTAGTTAATCTCAATAAGTGATGTGTAAGTCTGTTACTCTTCTTTGACATTAAATTAGATACTACACTGAATCTACGATCAGCCGGATCAGCCATATAGAACATAGAAAATGTGTTTAAAAATTTATCTACCATTGCTCATAATCCAGGCTAGTGATTTTTGAGGCCAAAATCCTTGGTATCCATGTTTAAATTTGTTTCCAAATTTGATGGTTTTTCAGTGTCTGCATTTGCGAAGGGATCTAAAAGCCAACTCGGTATATTCATGTTTATACAGGATGTCTCATTAAGAATGGGACATGAAACAACTGAAGATTCTCTGATTAAAATTAAGACGATTAAACGAAACATGCTTAGATAAAGTATTACTGGTTTCCGAAATACAGGGTGTTAAAGTTGAAAATTAAAAAAATTAGTAATTGAACTTTTTTATTTCTCAGTATAATTTTAATAAATTCGGTAAACATTGTTGGTACATCTATCAGCAAAACAATCAGTTAAATAAACTTTACCAGTGGCGTACGGCACGGATAAGTAACACTTTCACCCCTCTAAATTTTACGCCACTGTCCAAAAACGTATTATTTGGACTAAGCGTTTACGCTTTTTGATGTTTTTAAATAAATCATGTACTCTTATTGGGAACTCCTAAAGTAATTGGTTTTCGAGATATTCACACTCAAAGGTGGATGGATATTCATTTTATTTTAAATTTGAATTTCATTATAAATTCTCAACAAGAGTACATGATTTATTTAAAAAACAAGAATTCTAAATTTAATTTGATAATAAACACGAAACAAGGCTTTTCCAACACAATCCGGCGATCGATGAGCCCATCGGCTGCAACATGTCAAAATAACGAGGTAATGTTTTCCAATAACCACATAATTAATTTTCAGAGGATTGTTTAATAAATACACTCTTACCCAACCGGTTGTAGTGACCACCAAATTATTGATTATTTAAAATAATCGATTAATCGGAATAATCTGATAATTGATTATTCGAAATAATCGGTTAATCGAAAATAATTATCGACTTTAAAAAAAATTAACTAATCGATTATTTTGCCTAACCCTACCTGGTTCGCGGTAACAATTCAGAATTGATAAAGAGGCGGACATGCACTCAATGTATGAATTAGTAGTTCTGAATCAATTCAGGATTGTTACCACGAAGGAAGTCATTAACTACACTCAATACAAATCCAAATTAAAAAACAGATTTAAAACAAGGTTATTAAAATATATTATGTTTTAACATTTATGTCCTTTAAAGTCGATTATTCGATTAAACGATCATTAGATTAGATAGAATATAAAAATTATCTTAGGAAAATCTAAAATAATCGACTTTCCAAAAAAAAAAAAAATAATCGATTAATACATTTGTAAATATTTTAATACTTATTATTAATTTCCTTTGGTGACAAGCGGTGGTCCTTTATACTAGTTGCTTGTTACATTTGGTTAAAAAAAAATTTAAAAATATAATCATCATACCACTTATCGTAAAATGATATCAGGTCGTCGGACAGAAAAAACGGCTCTTCAAATTTGGCGGCCACTATGACCGTTTAGGTGAGAGTTTATTTATTAAACACTCGTGCGAAAATTATGTGGTTATTAGAAAACAACTTCGTTAGTTTGACATGTCGCGACCGGTGGATACATCGATCGTCGGATTAATTCTGTCAGTCAAGACTTGTTTCGTGTTTGTTGTTAAAAGATGAAAAAATATAGATGATAATGTCCTTTGGCTCCCGCATATGAGACGCTTATAATCACAATAAAAAATTCAGGTCCACGATCGTCCAAAGTTTCATATCCTGTAATTTAATCGCAACCGCCATACTGATGAACCATCCTCGACCTCTCAATTTTGAAACTTGTAACTATATGAAATTTTGCGAAGTTGATCTTAGTTATAAAACGAAGTTTGCTCATTCAGTAATAAATTTCAAACTTGATATCATTCAGCACTATGCTGAATATGCTGGAAAAGGTAATTTCACATTTTAGTTACAAAAGGTGGACTATATTTTTAATCGTGGTCCAGTTCAATCATTTTAATTATTTGCCTAAAATAGTCTTGATACAAATTTAAGGTATCTCATTGGTTAGGTTTATAATGAGGGAAATAATCATTTCTTATCAATACTCTGTACTCGGTTCTTCATATTGGTAGACCAATATCATTTAGAGGTACAACATCCGAAAACTAAAGAAATAGCGAAATCAACAATACTAACCTGGCTGCATTAAGTTTAGAACTTCATTACTAGTAGGCTCTGAACCACAACATGATAAAGGAAGGTTATAATAATATAATAAGAATCATCCCGCATATCTCTGCCTACTAGTACTGAAGTTCAACATTTTAATGAAGCCAGGTTAATACTGTTGTTTTCGCAACTTCTTTAGGTTTAGGCTATTGGACCTCTAAGTGATATTGACCTACCAATCTGAGGATCCAACAATGACATAGGAGTCTTCAGTTACACGTCCCCATATAGGGAATTATCTGATTCTTACCAGTCCCACATATTTGGTGTGTGTATTATATGGCGACATGAAATGCATGGAAAACGATGAGTCATATACTAGCTTCCCAAAGAAGAAATAGAAAGTCATACCGACCAAAGTCGTTAATACCGTCTAGTATATTATTCATGCTAATGTGGACTAAATACTTTTTAGACATTTAGGGAACCATTCAATAATTGCCATATGTGCAATATTAACCCCTACATAAGGCGGGGGCTGTCCTTAAGGAGACGTCCTACCACTCATCTGGTCAGTCCTAGTGGATGAACTTATATAAAGGTTAATATCTGCGGACGTTTACTGTCTAGAATATGCGCAATATGCGGTTGACCTGGAAATCGTAAAATGCAAATTCGTAGGTACACAAATTTCTCTAAGCGTCATTGACGGGTTATGTTAGTTCCTCTTCAAGTTCCTCTGTCTGTTATGTTGTAAACACGCATAAAACAACACTAGTCAATTTCTTAAAAGAAAAGATCTCAACGACCATACAAAGTAAGTAAACAAGACAGGGAGGCGTAGACGTGGTATCACGCAGAAATAACCTGGTATACAGATGGGTCCAAAATCAACGTAGGTACAGGAGTAAATATCTACAGTGCCAAGGCAAAGACTACAATCTGATAATCTTACTAAGGTTAGGTATAATACGACAAGCGAGAAGTAGCATGTGAAAAATAGATGCACATTGGAGGCGATATCTCACTTTTTCAAAAATATCTCTAGCTCTGGTTTGTTCCCTTTTCTTTTTGTATTCATGTCGCAGGGTACTTCTTGCTTGTCGTATTTAAATATGCGACAGTGTTTCAGACAGAAATAACAGCAGTACATCACTGTGCAAAAGAAATAATAAAACAAAAGGTAAAAGAAAGAAAATTAGATCCACGCATGTCTCGACGCATGTACACTGCACCTTTAAAGCTTGTGTGGGACTGTTCGGTAGCCCCAACAAAGTTTGACAGTCAAAACAGCCTTAGCTTGGGTAGCAGGCCTCAGGGGATATAAGGAACTTTCACAAAGCAATGAATGAATGATAGATAAACAAATCTCAAAATTATTCCTAAAGTATCATGCACTGCAAAAGACGCCTAAGGGATTAGAAATCAACTCTCCGGTACGTTACATTTGTATACTTCTCGGCAATAGTAAAATTGGACTAGCTCCGTGATTAGAACAGTTATGTTTCTCTTTCACAGGAGCGTGTGTTGATATGGTATCGATGTGCGTCAGCTTGCACAGCTATGTGAAAAGCGAGCAACGCGGCGACGTAAACAGCTTCACTATGTTTTTGCACTTAGAACTAAACTTTGAATGCTTAAGTGGGCAATTCCAATTCTACAGGATTTAAAATTACTTATTAGGTACTATTATTATAGACGTTTTATTACTTATGTTTTTTATGTATTTCAGAAATCGAACCACCTAGTGAACCTTTTCCTCAAACACCTCATGCCACTAGCACAGGGACAACCGGTGCCATTTTAGATCTCAATTTAAACAAAACGAAAAGTGATAAAAGTAAGTTCTGCTCTTAATTTACATATTACAAATAATTGGCAAATATCTTGTGTGTAAACCAATTATTGGGAATAGCTAAAACGATAATTAGTTTCACAAATTTGTAAATACCTTTAACCTCTCCTGGAAATAAATCTAGCGGCGCCCATACACACAGTGTGTAGGTTTTGGTTATTGGTAATAGATTTATGAAAATATTTTCTGAGAAAAAATAACATCCGTATTCAAAACACTTTTAAAAGTCGATATAAAAACATATTATAAAGAAAGTAATTTTACTATGATTAAAATAATTATATAATAGTCAATTTCGCCCGACTCTAATAGATATCTTACAAATTACCACATACATTTATGTTATAAAAAGGTGTTACTACATAAGGCGACTAGTTTCGGCAACTTCGAACCACCATCAGACTTTTTTAAGAATAAGTTTGGAAAAATAAAAAGTCAGTTGCTTACCTAATTATGGGAACAAAATTTAACAGACAGCTGTTTTTGTAACCAATTTGTCTTCTAAGAATGTCCAAAGTTTATTCAAAAATTGTTTAATTTAAATTATATTAAAATTTTGTTCATTATTAGGCAATCAGCTCACTTTTTATTTTTCCGAACTTACTGTTAAAAATGCCCTTCCTTTGTAGGCCTGATGATGGCCCACAGTGAGCGAAACTAGTCTGCCTATGCACTTACACATTTTTATATCATAATTGTTTATCTTAAAAAATTGTTGCATGATCAATAAGGACAAATCGAAATATAAAAGAATAAATCATGTTTAAATAATATTGTTCATCTTCATTTAAAGACTTATAAAACATAATCCGACCCTGTCGCTCACCAAGAATTTCCTCTTCATTTTTAATCACTTTTTAAAATGCATTAAAAATTTGCAATGGTATAACGACGAAAAGGTCAATATAGAGCACGAATTGAAAACATCAAGCATATTATTGAATGTAATATGTAACGTGACCTGACACAGACATAGATAAGAGTAATACTATCTTTTATCTCCCTATTAATATCATTTATCTCACTCACGCTGTTGCAACTGAAGTAGTTTAGATTTTAAATGGTTACAAAATCTAGCCAATAATAAGATTTTACATTTCTTTATTGTCATAGCGAAGTCTGAAAATAGGCGTGAGGCGATACCGCCATAAGCATTACTCAATCTTCTATCACTCTTTCATAGCATTAAGCCGTTATAAGAGTTATCATTAAAATCTAAAAATACATCTTTCTACACCCACATGGATATTAGCCATTCTACGCACATACTATTGCATTCAATCTAACGAATATATTTCATATCCATTCTACCAAGTAAGAACACTGCAAAAAAATTAAATCCACGAATCACAGTTCATATTTTGATCACCCGGCTACTATTATTTCTTTAAATTTTAAATAAGTGACAATTATGTCAAACTAATTATTGTCAGTATATTTCTTAGTTATCGATAAGCATTCGAAAAGCATCGAAAGCATCGAAAAGCATTTCCATTTTTATTTCGTCTAAATTTACAAATAAACCATACATTTTAATTAAACTATATGAAATCCATTTATCTACGAGTATTAAAACTAAAATCGCTAAAGTGGCGGTGGAGATGAGGACAGAGCATCTGCCTTCCACTCGAAAAGCCCGGGATCGAATGTGTGCTGGGGAAATTAAATTATGTCTTTTTTTTCATGTTTATTTTATTTTATAAATGTTTTGTGTAGCGATGGAGCAGATACGATGGAGCAGATGTGTATTTGCCTTTTATGCAGAGATCCCGGGTTCAGTTCTGGAAGTGGAGACTAATCTTTTTTTTTTCAAATTTATTTTATTAGATAAATTAGTAAAAGTCTTAAATTATTTTTAAATTAGGTTTTTTATCTTAATAACTTAAATAATTTTTAGCTCAAGTGGATTGTTCATATCCACTATTGTTGCACAAACTACTATTCTCACCGGGACCTCACATGTATCTCGCCCAAATAAATTGATGAAAAAGTAATTGCAAATCAGTAAAAAAAAACATATTCTGAGGATTGCCCTTTTTTTTAATCGAAGGTCAATGGGGTGGCAAAAACAGCGATAATAGTGTATTTAGATGTGTTTATTTATAATTTAAAAAATGGACAAACATCGAAATGATGCCAAAATAATTATAAGTCTGTAAAGAATGTATTCTAAGTATGGTCCATTTTTTTTAAATCCGAGTCCAACGGGGGTTTGACAATTTAATTAAAAATGATTTAAAACAGGTTATTGGATACTAAAGAAAGGGAAAATAGGTATGGGTAAACGAATGATTACCAAATGCAGTTATATTTAATTTTTGTGAATATTTTTTTTTATATTTAATATTTTTTTGTTTTTTTTATATTAAATATATATTTTTTTTTTCAAAAAAACCAATTCGTGGGCAATCCTCCTACACATTTTTGTACCATTTTTCCAATTTTGTGGTGCCAAGTTCACAGCCCTATGAAATTGTAATCCGATACTTTTTTAGTTTGAATTTTTTTTGAAAAAGGACATGCCAATTGGAAAAACTAAAAAATTAACAAACATGGGCAAACGAATGTTTACCTAATGCACTTATCATATTTCATTTTTGTAAATATTTATTTCCTTTTATTATTATAAATATTTTTTTTCAAAAAATAATTGATGGGCAAACGAAATGCCATTATTCTATGGAATTATACTATCAAAATATTTACTTTTGTTTGGAAGTTGGCCCGTGAAAATTTTTTTCGATATATTTTGAAAACAGAGGGTGGGCAAAAAAGTTATTTCTTGGGCAATAATGGGCAAAACTCCCACAAATTTTTACACAATTTATTCACAATTTTTGTACAATGTTTGCACAAAGTACGATTTCATGTAAAATTGAAAATTTTGCTGCGTCCATATTGAATTTTAGTTCAGGTCCTAAGCTCCGATGGAGCAAAAGTAGCGAAAGTATCGACGCCGTTTTGCCATATCTTAAAATTATCTTGAATTTAGAGGAAAATATTTTATCATGCATATTTACAATTTACAGAAATATTAATTATATATACAGGGAGACTCATTTTTTACCGTTTTCTTAATAAGATGAATTTTTAATAATATTTGGTGCTTTGTCTAAAATCAAATACTAAATTAAATAAAATTTAAAATAAATGCCTTTATACGAGGGACATCAAAAATGCAATCAAGAGTAAAGTGCCCTTATTTACAATATGCTAATTGAATACTCTTATAAAGTGACAAAATACTCATTTAAAACGCGTATAAACAGATTTGTGAAAAAATTGATTAAGGATATAATTTTTTCTTATGTATGCTAAGATTTTTCTGAAAATAAAGTGTAAATTTGACAAAATGGGCATCGGTTAGTTATGCATTCGATATGTACCCAGCAAACACAAACATATAACATATATGTATCATTTACATATCGTGTTACATAACAAAGTAACTTACATGTTACATAATAACTCACATGATTACTGTAAAAAATTAACTAATTTTGTTATATAACAGGTTCTTCATAGATGATGTAATGGGTTAAGTACATGTAAGGAACAATGTTATATATCAGAAGATATGTAACATTTATAATACTATTATAACATTTAATATGCTTCATTATTACCGCACATATACATTACATTTTTTATAGAACATTAGTCTTAAAAATATTACATATACATAATTACCATGTTTTTAAAACGTTCTTATGAGAAATGATTCCAGAAACGTTTCTTTCTCAGATAACCATTATACATTCTTAGCATATTGTTAGTATATACTTTTTAAGAATATACATATGCCTACTTTATTTGCATTTAGTACATTCTCAGAGTATACTAAGTATATGTTACGGAACGTTGTTTATACGTGCTATGCAGATACTGAGAATGTACTTCAAGTATGTGTACAGTATGCAATAAGTATCTACTTTCATTTGATAGTACGTTCTAAGTATATGCTAAGTATTTAAATTTAGCATATACTAGGCATATCGCTGTCCCAGTTTAAAAGTGTAACATCTCCAAATTGGCCATTAAAAACATATATTTAACATGTTTTATTTAAATGAAAAACAGGTGTTATTTGAAATGTTTTATTTTAGTTTAATAATGTTTATAAATAGGCCTTTTCATAACAATTTTTTTTTGTGCGCATGCGTCAGTATCAGCCCTCTTTTTCGTACTGTTTTTTGTTAACAAGCATGTTAAAATGTCCACCTGAAAAAATTATAATCGATAAATATTAATTTTAAGTATATTCATTCGTTTAAAAAAATGGGATAAAAAAAGTAAATTAATGAGTGTCTTAATTGAAAAATCAATTTTTGCAATCAATTAATTATGTTATCAATACGGAAACGAAAAACTAAACGGTGTTTGTTATGACGTTATGAGTGTGTAAAAGTGACACACGGTATAAATTAATATTTTATAAAAAGACTTGCCTGCAATATCGTAAAAAACTATCAAATTAGGCAAAATACATATTAAAACAAGTTCAAAATGAGCATTATGAGTGAAAAAATGTGGTCGAAGTGACAAAGGTTTTCGATCGATTGATGGATGATGTTAGGTACTAAAGATACTAAAGACACTACATTTTCATGGAGAAAGTGGTTCAACAGAAGAAACTCCTTGTCTGGCATTACACAATATTCTTTAATATTAAATACTACCTCGGTATCCACAGTTATATTATTAAAAATGTCATGTTGATCCAGAAAATTTTAAATAATTTATCTTATTAATTAATTATACTCGTGATTAACTTTCATGTTAAAGTGTTTTTGCAATTATTAATAGTTGGTTGGCATAATTAATTAGAATAGAGTTATAATTATTATTTGTTTTTATTAATTTTTTACACAGTTAATATTGAAACCTAACCTTTCAATCACACTTTTTTTCCTTATTCCGAACGTCCACGTCACTTCAAGAACCTTTTTCATTGCTCAAAACTATGTGCTTCCACAGGGTTATAA